CTCTCAGTGGTATTTCCCTCATTGTGTATTGGGTGAGAACTCCATTTTATAGTGGATTCTCTTTAAATTTAGAGTAAACTATACTTATGACTTTCAAATTATGACTTTTTTGTTAATTAATTCTCTAATTTCTTTTTATATTGATTGATTCCCTAAACTCTCTAATTGTATTAATTGAATTCTTTTGTCCGTCTCTGTTAGAGTGTGCTACTCATGTAACCATATGACCAAAAAAAAAAAACATAAGGGTTCAATTAATACAAAAAAAAATAAATTAAGGGATCATATGTTTAGTTTACTCCAACTCATTTGTGTCACCTGAGTGACACACTTGGCTACTTCTTTTAAAAAATAAAATGAAGACAGACATAATAACTCAATTGACACNACAAAATATAATTTCTCTCAGTGGTATATCCCTCATTGTGTATTGGGTGAGAACTCCGTTTTATAGTGGATTCTCTTTAAATTTAGAGTAAACTATATTTATGACTTTCAAATTATGACTTTTTTGACAATTAATTCTCTAATTTCTTTTTATATTAATTGAGTCCCTAAACTCTCTAATTGTATTAATTGAATTCTTTTGTCCGTCTCTGTTAGAGTGTGCTACTCATGTAACCATATGACCAAAAAAAAAAAACATAAGGGTTCAATTAATACAAAAAAAAATAAATTAAGGGATCATATATTTAGTTTACTCCAACTCATTTGTGTCACCTGATTGACACACTTGGCTACTTCTTTTAAAAAATAAAATGAAGACAGACATAATAACTCAATTGACACAAAAAAAAAAAAAAAAGCTCATGTACCAAATTGATATAAGGGTCATAGTTTAAGGGTCATATATATAATTTACTCTTAAATTAATAATGAACGAGAATATAATTTAGAAAAAAAATAAAAATAAATTTAATCAAAGAGGATCCAAATCCGTTAAAAATGACTTGGTAAGGGCAGCACTATTGGAGCAAAATAATTTGAAGATGGTAAGTACGCCGCACATCACCAACGTTTGATTCTCTTCCACTCCGACACCGACACCGACAAATTAGAAAATTCAAATCAGTGCTTCAATAAGACAGAGAAAGTAGAAGAAAAAGAGGGAGGGGGAGTGTTGGATAATGATGGCAATTTAAGGAACACCGTACGGTAGAATTCTTATTCCACGAGAATAATTTTATATAAATTTAAAAAATAAATTTGATAATTATAATTATTAATTTTATTGTGAGTCTTATTATTTATTAAAATTTATTATATTTTTAATAGTTATAACTATTATGTCTATTTTTTAAATTCATGTAGTATTACTCATCCCACGAATATTAAATTTAATAATAAAACCAAATTATCNATTTAAAAAATAAATTTGATAATTATAATTATTAATTTTATTGTAAGTCTTAAAATTTATTATATTTTTAATAGTTATAACTATTATGTCTATTTTTTAAATTCATGTAGTATTACTCATCCCACGAATATTAAATTTAATAATAAAACCAGATTATCATGTCATCATTCAATAAAAAATAAATAAAGTGAACTCTACTCCTATACAGAAAGTAATTATTATGTTATATGGAGGGGTTAATTATTAAATTATGTGAGATTAAATTGTTAATTTTTTTATTAGATGATAATACAACATAACGTTGATAATCCAATAACACTGTTACATTCAATGTTTTCTATTGTTCGATGACCCCTCCTTGCTCCCATATATTTTTTTTTTANAGCATAACATTGATAATCCAATAACACTGTTACGTTCAATGTTTTCTATTGTTCGATGACCCCTCCTTGCTCCCATATATTTTTTTTTTAGAGGCTAAACCAACACTCCCCATCCTCTATCCCTCCCCGCTAATTTAAAATCCTCTTTGTTAGAGTTTCATTTCTATAATAATAATCTTACAATCTAACAAAATCACAATAAATTTATGTAGGTAGTTCTCAAGATGTCTGATTGAATTAGTGGTGACAATCACTATTCGACTAAATATAGTTCTGTAGAAGTTTGAAAGTATTCATAATTTTGTGGTATTTGGAAGAAATATAGGAGAAAAAAAAAATAAAAATGTTGGCTGTGACATTGGTGTGCTACGGAAATTTCTAATCGGTTGTGGATTGGTTATATAGTTTAATTACTTTTTTTGTGTGTGTATTTATTTTTTCTTTTTCTCTATTTTATTTCTATGATGACCGAGGTGCAATTAGCTATAGAGGGTGTCGATGGATGTGTTTTTGAATTTGCGTGGAGATCAAAATTATTAACGTAGTTTCTTAATTTCTATTAACGATTCAAATCTACTATTATTTTGTCCATCGAAAGAGATTTTTCATTGTCTAAAATGAGANGAAATTTCTAATCGGTTGTGGATTGGTTATATAGTTTAATTACTTTTTTTGTGTGTATTTATTTTTTCTTTTTCTCTATTTTATTTCTATGATGACCGAGGTGCAATTAGCTATAGAGGATGTCGATGGATGTGTTTTTGAATTTGCGCGGAGATCAAAATTATTAATGTAGTTTCTTAATTTCTATTAACAACTCAAATCTACTATTATTTTGTCCATCGAAAGAGATTTTTCATTGTCTAAAATGAGAGGAGAATTTACTATTTAACTTTCTTTTATGTTTGAAAGGGAGAAGTGGATGGATGAAATTCAAACTCACAATCACTCGTGAACGAAAGTGAGTCTTTTTCAATTGGTCACTCCCTCCCTCGAGGAAAGGCTTGACACCAAAAAAAAAAGGTGGGTGGAATATGCAGATAACATAAATAAGTGGCCCTAATGCAGTACAACAGCAAAAGAAGATTTCTATGATTGAGTGGCTTCAATTCATTTCAAGATTTTTGTCACACTAGACTTGAGTTTTCTCAAGTCTGTGCCCTTATTGGATTATTGTTCCCCCATTGTCAATCCATCAATGAATCACGGGATCCACCCCTAGAAATTAGACCAAAACGAAAAGTAATCACAACTTGATGTTCAACTGTTTTTGACTACCTTTCAGTAGGGGGGGGAGATAGTGTTGAAATTTTGGTTGGTTGAAAAACATTTGATATTTCTCTTTAACAAAAAAAAGGAAGAAAGAAGGTATATGGAATTTTATTTACAACTTTTTTTTTTTGAATAATAAAAATGTGGAGCAAAAATAATAAAAAAAATGTGTTTTTTTGTAATATATGTAGAGGAATAATAATAAAAAAAAAGGATGTGTTGCTTTTGGGGCACAGTGCTATTATTTATGAAAAGTCAGGTTGTTATGTTACTTATTTAAATCTTTGAGAAGGTAAAATAAAGATTTGAATAAATTGTGGGGAATCAAATGTCATTCACAAATGTTGGTTGCCTAATAGTCAGAAGCCAAAACTCCTCCAATGGTTTTTGACCTTTTTTTTTACTATTTTGACATTCACAGAATTCTCAAAAGTCTTGTGGTTTGTAAAATTTGACTATTTTGACCATAATTAGAAAGATACTCTTTTTTTTTGGTGGATAACTAACTAGAAAGATACTTGACAAGCAAACTTTAGGAATAAATTTGCCCTTCAAAGTATATTACACTTGGGCCATCTTATGAATATATTATCTGGTGAATAGAATAGTATTTATCTTTCTTTTTTTTGTGCATGTAATATGTCAAAAGTTGATAGCATACTCATAAAAAAATCATATTCCGTGTACAAGATTTATAACTAAAATGAGTGTAAGAGTTTTCACGACAACACCTAGTGTTAAAAAATGTTGCACGGCATAAGAACACTCGACATATAGATACACACTATTGGAGCTTTTTAATAGTAGCCGCGACCAACAACCATCAGTCGTCCTAGTGGCGCACCCTTTACACAAGCATGGCTCGATGAAGGGAGACGAGAAAAGCTATAGGCCCAAAATCTTTTACCCTTCTTTCTAAACGGGGATGATTGGGACACCTCATTTTATCATTTAGTTGTTGCTCATTTCTGTTATGCCGAAATGATTGGTCTTCTTTCTCCACACCTGCTCACGCTTCGTTGATCTATTACGTGGTAAAGAGAAGAAAAAATGAAAGAATAGTAAACGAAGCACACCGCATAAAGATTCTAAATATGAGAGTGCCTCTTGGATTCGAGAATAAGGAAATGGAAAACGAGAGCGAAACAAAATAAGACGTTTCTAGACACGCTAGGATCGTTTGTGCAAAAAATTGAATTGCATCCTAGGTGAAGCTTAGTCCTTTGGACCTTTCAATTTCACAAGTTTATTAGTTGGGACTACTCGCACACTTTAAGATTATTGAAAGTATTGCAATACGATAGACTCCTGCCATTGCTAAATGTAATATTTTAAAGCTGCTAAAGCAATTTCTTTAAAAAGAAGAGCAAACACACCAAAAAGGAACCAACCCAGCCTCTCCAAGAAAGTTTTGCTTGGTAGGAGCTGCCTACTCACTTAGACAATACACTAAACACGGAAGTGTGCAATTCCACCCCTTTCTCCCATGCTGAGTAATAGGCAGCGTGTTGGAAAGTACGGGGGCGAGCCACATGTTAGGAAACTCACACGTGTGGTCTACACCATTTCTTTCCAAGTTTGTAACCAACCCAACAAGCTCGTAATGAATACAAAAAAATATAATTACAAAAGTGAAAAATTAATTATTTACATACATTTTGCAAAATCAACGTATCAAGATATTATCTACATATATCTACTAGTAATATTAGAGGAACCTTAATTAAATAAATAACTAAAAGACCCAGAAACTGTGTAAATGATAATTCCAAGGAATTCAAACATTGTAATTTTTGAATACATTCAATTATTTTTTGAAAATAGTAAGCAAATTTTTTTTTTTTTTGAGCAGCTAATAGTAAGCAAGTTGATGGAGGACAAAAGATATCTATATAGTGGGGTATTTTCGTAATTTAGACAACTCTTAAGAACCTTTTTCGAGTTGCCAAATTCTGTCTTGCTGTAAAATCCAACCGTTTAACTATAGAGAAAATTCCCGAAAATGGCGAGAAAAAACACCAGCGGGCCATCACTACTATATAGTAGCGTTGGAGAGAGAGAAAGAGAGACAAGTGCAGAACTAATGATAATAATTGGAGAGAGAGCTTCTTTGATTTCAATTCCCATTGAAAATTCCAGTCAATAAAGAAGGACAAGAAGAAGTGGAGGAAGAAGAAAAGCTTTTTTTTTAAAGATTTGATTTGGAGAATCAAAGTACACTTTCTCACCTCACAATAAATTCTTTCCATTGCCCTAACTTTTCTTTCTTAAAGGTACTTGAATTTTTTTTCAATCTCTGTGTGTGTGCAGGTTTGGATTATTCTTGAGTTGACATTGGAGGGGTTTTGATATAGTTTTTGTTTGGGTAAATAAAATTTTGAGGAAGTTTTGTATATATGCGTGCATGGTTTGTGTTAACGTTAACCAGTGAGATTTGAATTGTTCTGGGTAAGTTCTAGGATTATTGATTTTGTTTGGGTTTGGTGAATTTGAAGAGGCGTGACATTGATTTTTCTTTTTATATATTATTCTTACCCAGATAAGTGATTCTGGGTATGATGGATTTGAGAGTAAATAAGCTTGCTTGAATTAGGAGGGTTATTGGAAGAGGTACAAATAGCAAGGAATTTGAAGAATCGAACTAGAGCTTTTAGATTGGTAAAGTTAGTTATTTGGATCTTCTTGCCTCTTTCTTTTTGAACATATCTGATGTATCTTTTTTTCCTGATTTATACAAGATGTATATTTGCTTATTAGAGATATTTATTATAGAAGTAGTGCTAAAATGTAGAATAGAACAAGGATTTTATAACTTAAATTATTGGATTCACCTCCTTAAAACTTTGGGCTTGCCTTAAATTGGACCTTCCTTGAAATGGAACTGTGTCTTTTGACCTTGAAAGTGACCACCTTAGAATATGTATAGTAGTAGTTGATAGAGGAAACGATCAGAATTCTCGGCTTGGTGAGGACTGGAGCCATAATGCTAGAGTCTTAACACATTGACAGGGGATTATCTGACTTGTTTAGCTCTCGGTTAGTTCTAGTCACCACCTAAGTATACTATATGGCCTGGGCAAAACCATCACTGGGACGATTGCGTGACAGTGACATGCTTGCTAATGGTTGTGTTCAAATGAGGTTCTTCAAAACATGTTGACTAAACATCCCGTGCATAGGGATGTCAGTGGACCGAAGTGGGGGCAGGGAGTGTAGTCTTCATCCCCGTACCCGCTTTATATTACAACCATAAAGTGTTAAAAGATGAAAATTTAAAATTTCGCTAATTCAATAATTCTCCCAATTTCTTAGTTCACTCTAGCAGAGAAACTCAGCAACCTCCATTCATAATATTTCTATCCACGATGAAATGCAAAACTATCTTATTCTCTCTTTTGTGTTTTTAGAGTTTGGTTAATTCAAACTTCTATCAGTTTCAATTAATGAGCACAAATAGAAAAAAGAACAATCAGGAAAAAAAGTTGATAAAATTACTACATAGCAATGCCACTTTTTAGTTTGATTACCATATTTCTAGATTGGTAGTTACAGTAAATATGTTTAGTTAGGTTTTGGGAGTATATATATATATATATATAATGGGTAGCGGGGGCGGGGCGGGATGGGGCGGGGGTAAGGGTAAGTTCATTCTCGCCTTCATTCCCGTACGGGTTTATACGGATATCCCCGTATACGTCCACCGTCCAATACGTATAGTTCATCTTCGGTCCAAACGGAGCGAGTTTGGATAAATACCCGTTATTCCCCAGTCCACTGCCATCCCTACCTGTGCACATTCATTTTGTTCCCAGATTGAGATGTGTGATATTAATGGCTAGATTCTCTATTTGGAGTTCCACATATTTTTCCTTACTTACCTCGAGCTTAAGTTATTTATTATCAAGCATCTGTAACATTTTTTCGTTGTTGGAAAATTTCCAGAGATGGCGCTTGCTCATACACGTAAACTGGATGTCACATTATGTAATGTTGATCACTTGAAATAAGGTTGGCCCAAACCAATTAGTGGGAATGACATCGTTAAAGATGGAGTTGATTATTCTAGCTGCAATATTGGCTTGTTTGCATTCCTTTGTATCGCCTGATGCCCAAGGTATAATGCTTATTGAAAATTTTTATTCATTCAAACAGCAGGTGGATATTCTGTGCAGTGCGATCCTTTCTGTGTTTAGAGGCAGTTTCCGTTAAATAGATAACATACAAATGGGAGGTGCTATCTCTTATTCATTGGCTTTGATCTAATAAGATAATTGCAAATTTCATTTTTCAGCGGAACTACATCCTGATAATATGTTCCGTCTCTCTCTCTCTCTCTCCCCACAAAAAAATCTATCTTGATCTGCTTATGTTAATTCTTTATGTTTGCATTCACTTTTTTTGTGAGTAAGGAGTCAGGTTGACATGACATCACTGGCGTAACTGGCAAGATTGACTCAGGGTTACAATCCCCCTCACTTGCAAATGGACACACGAAAGCCAAAAAAAATGATCTATTATAACTTTCTATCTGGAGTGGTTATATCAACTTGTGATAAAATTTCATGTTAGCTAACAATTGCTCTGTAATGTGAAAGCTCTTTCAAAGTGGAACTGGAATGGGAAAATTGAAACACAATGTTTCAATTTCTACGGGAGTGGGATGAAAGGATAGGTTATTGATGAAAAACTAAAATGACATGATCCTGATTTAATGCGCAAGTGGCTTTCGGTCACTAGTACTATTATCAAAATGCACAAGAAGTCCATTTCTTCAATAGGCCTATCTTTTTTCTGTGGACAGCTTTGTCTGATGTTCTGGAACAAGTTGTTCCATGTTTTAGGAATCATGATGCTAAATGGAGATCACCAAGGTATTAGCAGTTATTTGTAATAACCTCCTATGTTCGCTTGTGCTAGTTTTTCAAAGCTTACTTCCAAAGGACATTAGTTAGGGGTTGCACGGTAGCTTCAATTGAATGGTGAACAATCTCTGGTTTTGTTTCAGGAGATGCTCTCTTTTCCTTGAGGAGTTCTCTAAATGCTTCAACCAGTCAGCTTATGGATTGGAATCAAAACCAAGTTAACCCATGCACTTGGTCAAAAGTTTTCTGTGACAGTAATTCTAATGTCATTAGTGTGTAAGTAGTTTTGAGGTGCAATTTTCGCTTTCCTTCTGCCCATTCTATATATGCTGAGAAATTGCTGCAATAGTTACTCACTCACTAGTTTGTTTATTGTAGAAAATTTTTCCATTTAGTTTCCCTATCTATAACATAACGTGGTGTATCAATATACAATTATTTTTATTTTTTTTGCAGATCTCTGTCCAACATGGGCTTTACTGGTACCTTGTCTCCAAAAATAGGAGTTTTGAAGACTCTTGTGACACTGTATGTGTAGGACAATTGGATCTGTGTATTTCTCAAATTATTTAATTCTGGATTCTGTATGTATTTAATTTGCCTAATGCCATTGTTTTTACATAATGTATGTACATAAAAACAGTTGGATTTGCCATGTTGGCATGTCCGTGTAGTTACATGTTTCTCTCCCGAATCTGTATCTGTGCCGACAACCACCCTTTCACCTCTTGGCACTATAAAGCTACCTCCTGTGCTCATCCAAAGACCACCACAAAACCATGCTTGCTGCACCATATTGCTGACAGCCATGAGTCCATAATAATTCCTATTTGCTAAACACCACCTTGGTGGCAGTACTCAGATACTATTGGCACATGGCTAGTTTGGGTTAATTTTTTTTTTTAACATGGCGGAATCTCTTTCCTCTGTTGACCATCGAATGTGAAATTCTCTAATGTCTTGTAATATGAGTGTTTTATTTTTCCTGTTGACAAAGATGCATTCATCTTGCAGTTCATTGCCAGGAAATGGCATAACTGGTGAGATACCAAAAGAGTTTGGGAATTTGACAAGCCTGACAATGTTGGATTTGGAAAACAACCATTTAACTGGAGAAATACCATCTTCCCTGGGCAATCTGAAGAAGCTTCAATTCTTGTAAGTAGTGCTATCTTCATTTTATTAGTAAATTTATAGCATTCTATCATTAATATGTTGCTCATACAACTTGTGATATACTTTATCACGTGTGCAGGATTTTGAGTCAAAACAATCTGACAGGGGCAATCCCCGAATCATTTTCAAGTCTTCTCAACTTGATTAATGTGTAAGTGCTTAGTCTCATATTACGTTTATATGTTTTATCATTGAAGATTTCCCTTTGATTTGTAACTTGATTGAGTTCATTTTAATGTGAACTTGTATAGATGGGAACTTTTTGTAAGCTTTTGATGGCATTATAGAAACTTTCTGTGCAGTCAGCTTGCGTCGAATGGTCTCAGTGGTCAAATACCTCCACATTTATTTCAAGTTTCAAAATACAAGTATGGAATTTTTTTCCTCCCCAATTCTGATAATATTTGCTCCTAGTTTAGACAGTGACTAGTAAAGGTGCTTATAGATTTGATTTTTGTGCTTGTTAGTCTTTCTTCCTCAGCTTTTCATTGACACTGATGTTAATCTAACTTAAGCTACATATTTCAGTTTTACCAGGAACCATTTGAATTGTGGCATGAATTTGGCCTACCGTTGTGAATCTGATAGTGGAGGTAATATAATTAGCTGAACTCTGTTATCTACTATGAATCTTTTGTCTTTGGTGAATATCTAGCTATTTACTGTAAGTATTTTCAGCTGCATAAATTTTTTATTTGTGTACAACCTTAGCTGTAGAACTTAACTATCTTGGCAGGTGCTTCGAGTAAATCAAAGACTGGAATTATACTTGGGATTGTTGGCGGACTTCTAGGTCTTCTTCTTCTTGGAGGTTTGCTCTTACTTCTGTGGAAAGGCAGGCATAGAGGCTACAAGCGTGAAGTTTTCGTAGATGTTGCAGGTTTGTGTTGCTTGTGGTTTATGGAAGGGTTTTGTTAAATATTTGTTAGTAATGGAATGTTTTGATATCCCGTGAATAAGTAGACGATATTTATTAGTAACTGAAAGTTTTGGATCTCCCAAATAAGGAGACATATGGTTTTGCGGGGGAGAATATTGCCATTCTGCTTAGTGGCATTTAAGTACATGTTGAGGATAGTGATGTCTACTGTATTTATTTTTTCTCCTGTTTGCACAGGAAAGGAGGTCATACCCAGTGTTGGTATTGTCAATGTTGGGGCCCCCATGTAGGAGGGAAGGATTGTTTTGGGGTTGGACTGGGTGCATACTAATGTCTTGCATCATTTTGCACGAAGTGGCAGCCCTTTGAACACATTGCCATGCTTTACAGAGTTTTCCCTGTTGCATTCATCAAAAGCTCCCTCTTGGTTTACCATTGTGAAGGTGCAAAGCTCAGATGGTCAGCTTGAAACCTTGACAACTATACTTGGCATAGTCCTGCATTGACTTGATAAGACCTCTTTTTGTATCAAACGTGGTCAGAGGTCAATTTGCCAAAGTTTATGCAAATATCTTAATATGGGCTGGTTTCATATTTTATGAAGCGCAAAGGATTTACTTAACTTGAACAACATGGTCAATTTATTTGGTTCAAATCTGAGTTTAGGAACAAAGAGCTAAAATATCAATGAAACTTTAGGATACCAAATGGGTTAATTAGCTCAATGTTGCTTTCTTAAAACCATTTAAAAGAGTTCTCTCAATTAACAATTGAATAGGATACTGTTTTTAATCCATCTTAAATTGTTTGAAGATTTTAGAGCTTAAAAGGGGTTTTGGCTTCTCAGTTTACTCAATACTGTTTGGATGCCACTTCTCTGTGAACGTATCAAATGGGATAAACTGAAAAATCCAAACTGGGCTCAATGTGTTGGTTTGGATTGGTTGTCGTGGTATTTGGTACTTGGTGAGTATTCGGTATGCAGTTTGATTATGCAGTTTACTTAAAATATCAATTGGTGTTCTCGTGAACACGCCTTTTCTTAACCAGCTAAGAGCTCCATATTAGTGGAAATGATGGTCCTCTCTAGTCTTTAAAGCTTTTCATCGCCTAGCTCTTTAAGCAGGCCTCGAAAGTGGGCTGAGCTCTGTTGATGGATTTTGAGCTTTGGAGGCAGGAGCATGAGGAAGTATGGCTAATTTTTTTTTATAATTTTTCTGTTTGGTTTGGTTGTGTCTTTTGACTTGCTCAATTTGGCTCTAGGTTTGGATTTTGGCGAACTAACCCAGGTTGGTTTGGTTTTGGGTTTGACATGAAACCATACTGAGGAGACCCATGTGCACCCCTAACCTGATTAATCAACATAAAAAGGAAAATAGTACAAAACCCATTTGCGGATATTCACTTAATCATTTTGATTGATTTATTTTCTAGGGCAAAAGTTTGGTTTGATTCGATGTGTTATATCATGGTTTGCATCTCTCGAAGCATTCTCAATCCTTTTACACTGTCCAAAGTAAACCAGTTAAGATGGTGTCATTTGTTCATGATTCTCATTAACCCCAGAAAATTAAAAACAATCAGTGATTTGTGACACATACTTTTGATTTGGCATGTGTTATTGGTAATAAATATTCTTGCAATGGCCTTAATGCTTTGTGCTAAATTTGAACTTCAAAAATTTTATATCCGATAAGTTTATGGCTGATCTACTTCAAAAATTTTATATCCATGAACTAAGACAGACCTGTAAATGGCTGTATCTACTTTTTTTCTTGTTGATGAATGAATTCTGTTTCAATGTGAAATTTGATTTTTAGTATTTGTACTGTTTCAATTTGTGGAGGGCACGACTTATCAGATGTTTTGGTAAGAGTAGAAATCATTGGTGTATTTTTTCCTTATTAAAAGTTATGAAGCTTGTATTTAAAAGAGCAGTTTCAAAAAAAAAAACAAACAGTGATTGGCTTTACATTGCTTATGTCTAGAACAGTAGTTCCTACATTTTTGATGCTTTTTTTTCTTCTGATCGTTTCTTCTATATGCCCGTTAATTTCTGTTCTTTCATTTTTGAATGAATATTTTTTAATTCTTTTCAGAATGCAGTTGAAAGTTTGAATTTGGAATAACTTTGGTACCTTTAGGAATATGCTTCTGATTTTATTGAGGAATTTTTCTGTACGAAGCATGTAATTCTATTTTTGGGGACTACATAATTTTTCCCAAAATGTTGTAATTTTTCTGGATATCAATAATTTTTTCCTTTTAAAAAAAACAGGAATATGCTTATGAATTCTTTCCCCTTGTGTGCTCAGGGGAAGTTGACCGACGTATTGCATTTGGTCAGTTGAAAAGATTTGCATGGAGGGAATTACAACTAGCTACAGACAATTTCAGTGAGAAAAATGTCCTTGGACAGGGAGGTTTTGGAAAGGTTTATAAAGGAGTTCTTGTAGATAACACCAAAGTTGCCGTCAAACGATTAACTGATTACGAGAGTCCAGGTGGAGATGCAGCATTCCAGCGTGAGGTTGAGATGATAAGTGTGGCTGTTCACCGGAACCTGTTGCGACTGATTGGGTTTTGCACCACACCTACGGAACGCCTTCTGGTGTATCCCTTTATGCAGAACTTAAGTGTTGCTTATCGCCTACGAGGTATTTGTTCAATGCTCACACGTGAATTCGAGTTGCTGATGGCTTTCCTTCTCTTTATTTACAGCCTTTTTTATGTGCCTATACACATGCACTCCCACAAAGACAGATAATCTTCGGTATCTGTGTGTGTGTGTCTGCTTGCATATTTGTGGAGTTTTATCTAGTTACAATGACTAATTTTTCCTGTAACACCTATCATACGTGTAGAATACTTGTGGAAAATTTATCCAAAGAAAACATGATGTTCATTTGGTACGTTTTACTTAGAAGAAAGGACCATCAGTGTGCCATTTAGTTTTACAAGTGTCACAGACTCATAGTTAATCGTAGCTGTCATTTAAGCTTCATCATACCTTTCAATTGAGGCTAGAATGGAACTACCTGTGCATTTGCCCATAAAGTCAAATTGAGAAATGCCCATGTGATGTACATTTGCTGATTCATTTGTTTAACAATCAATATTAGTTTCTTTTGTATTCCAAGATAGGCTGTTTAAGGCATGTATTTCATTGATAAAAGATAAATAACGGGGACTTAGTTGGGATTGTAATCCAAATGGGGATCATAATCAGACTAGTTGGGATTGTAATCCATATGGAGATCATAATCAGACCTCTATTCTCATTGAAGTAGTTGAAATAGTAAAAACAATATTAGGGTTAGAGAAAGGAGGAAGAGAGAGAGAAGAGGCAAGAAGGAAAAGAATAATCAGGCTGTGTAGGTAATATTTTTCCTACACTCCCTTATTTATAGTAAACTGATATTATGGGAACTACAATATTGTCCTACACTAATAATAATATAAATAAGAACTCTAACTGAAGTACTGTATGTTTAGGGGGGATACGATGTCTTTCTTTATATCTGCTATGCCAAATCATTTTTTCCATTGACTTCTGCTCATCTTTTTACTCTTTCCTGAAATATGTCTTTGCATAAAAAGTAATAGTGAATGAGTTAAGATTAGTGGATAATGCCTATTAAAACCCATAATTACATGCACAGGCAACAAAAATCCACTTTGAGTATGGCAATTGAAGGCGTTTAAGTATTGCAAGTTATGATAGTGTAAAAGCATAATTGCCTTCTTGGCTCTCACTCCAAAGGCAGAGTCAATATGGTATTTATATTCAACTAGCTCATGACCTTTTACAGTTGAGCTCAGGAAAAAACTTTGTGGCATGTTGGCCAATTTGATTTCCTCAAAGGGCAGTCTACAAATTTATCAGAGTGAAATGGCTAAGCCCAATGAAGGGAAATAGCTACTCACTGTTTGGCGAGAGAAGAAATCACCAAAACTTCATTATCAATGACTACATAGACAGCCCAGTGACTGACATAATCTCAGCAAAACCGCATTGAGTTTCTTCTTCATGAAGCTCACGGTAGCATGCCTAATTTTTTCCAGCATTCTTAGAAGACCTTAGAAACTTGATAAAAATTTTCAGAATACTTATGATATGATTTTGTCAGAAACCGACCTCTGACTAACATGTTTGATCAATCTGTTTTGCATAAAGCTGGTCTGATATGATAATTAAAGGAAAAGATAACCTAGAGGATTTGATTTCTGTGATACCAATTTACCTTTTTAATCTTTATTTCACCTCTTGAAGCCTTTATTCTGTTCTTCTAATCGTTTTTTCGTTATTCGAGTGGAACTTGAAAAACTCTTTAGGATGCATAATTTAATTTGTTACTGCAGCAAAAGTAATCAACCATTAGAATGACTTGCTTTTCCTTCTCAACATTGCTTAGCAGGTAAGAGTTTTGCTATTGTTTTTAAGATATATTTAGGCAAATCAAACAAGATTTCAAAATTTCATGACATTCTCAACATCACTGAAGTGATCTTAAATAATGCCTCACTCATATAAACTATGGAGCAAAATACGTTGTCAACACTCATGAGTTGTGGGGTGGTCATGGTCTGTGACATAGCAGTTATATTTGGAAAGTTTGGCTGGTAAATTCCTCTTTTTCATGTGTGAATGATAATATTTGTTTTCAACTGTTTTTCTTGTGGTAATTGATTGGTTTTGGACATTTATACAGAACTTAAACCTGGGGAGGCTGTCTTGAACTGGCCTACAAGAAAACAAGTGGCTTTAGGCACAGCACGTGGACTAGAGTACCTCCATGAACATTGTAATCCTAAAATTATACATCGGGATGTTAAGGCTGCTAATGTATTGCTGGATGAAGATTTTGAAGCCATTGTTGGTGACTTTGGCTTGGCAAAATTGGTTGACGTGAGAAAGACTAATGTGACAACTCAAGTTCGTGGAACCATGGGTCATATAGCTCCGGAGTACTTGTCCACAGGGAAGTCATCAGAAAGGACAGATGTTTTTGGTTATGGAATTATGCTTCTAGAGCTTGTGACAGGCCAACGAGCCATAGACTTTTCCCGCTTGGAAGAAGAAGATGATGTCTTGTTACTTGATCATGTAAGATAAGGGTGACATGAATTATCTTGGTTCATATGTGCCTTCTCTCTGTCACTCCATATAGTTATATGCACTCACATACAAACACACATTTGTGTCTCTCTCTTTCTCTCTCACACCCATTTTCCCAGACAACACACATTTGTACCTGTCTCTCTGCATGTGTGCATGTATAGATGTTACAAAGTTGGAGTCTTAACTGCAGTTACATTTTTGCCCAGTAAGATATGAAACTTTTTGACTTCAGCTGTGAAGTGGCCATGCGATAATATATATATATATATATTAATATATATATATATATTACTACTACCGGGCTGAATTGATATTGTTAGAGTTTTACTTTACTGTTATTCTACTTTCCTAATATGTGGTTTTCTAATTATGTTCTACTTTACTAATATTGTAATTTTCTTCAATATCAATCAAATATAATAGGTGATAGGGTGTTAGCAATACACACCCTACACACTATTGTTTTATATTCTTTTTTTTTCTTGTTCTCTTCCTTTTTTTGAACCCTAACATACAATTATTCAAGTTTCAACTTGGTATCAGAGCAAGATACGTGAACGAATGGGGCCCGACCCTATGTGAGAACCTTACTTGCCTCGTGGTTGGGCCGACCCAGGACATATCAAGTTGTAGTTGTTTATGTTTGTTCATTGGTTGCTGTAATCATTATTAGTTATTGTGGGGTGCCTAAATTCATTTTTGTGGCCTCGATGTCTTATCATTGGCAAGGATTTTAGTGTTTTCAGTTCGGTCTAGTGCTGATTAGTGATTTTTGGCCCCATATGGCGCTTATTTTGTAGTTTTCATCTTAGATTAGTTTTGGTTTAGTATAGTTAGCTCGGTTTAGTGCCGGTTCAATGGTTTTTAGCTTAGTTTGGTGCTAGTTTAGTGGTTTTCATTCCGGTTCAGTATTTTTAACCCGATTTATGCCAGTTCAATGGTTTTGGCTTAGTTTGATGCTGATTTAGTGGTTTTTATCTCAGTTCAATCCTGGTTTAGTGTTTTTAGCTCGGTTTAGTGTTGGGTTAGTGGTTTTCCAGCCAGTTTGGTTATGGTTTAGTGGTTTTCACCCCAATCCAGTTTCGGTTTAGTGTTTTTAGTTTGATCAAGTGTCGGTTCAATGGTTTTAAGGCTAGTTTGGTGTTTTTCTTGTAATTTTCATCTCTGTTTAATTCCGATTCAGTGTTTTCAACCCGATTTAGTGATTTTCGACACAATTTGGTGCTGATTTAATGGTTTTCATCTCGATTCAGTAATGGCTCAGTGTTTTAGCTTGGTTTAGTGCCAAGTTTGGAGTGTTAATCCTGATTCAGTATTGGTTTTGTGGTTTTCAGCATTGGTTTTGCTCCTTTTGGCTGAATGAACTCTGGTTTTGGTCGGTTTAAGATGAATTATGATGTAATGTAATTAGGTTTTATGAGAAGGAGAAGAGAAGAAAAGAAATAATTGGCATAGAGTAGTGTGTTAGGTTATCCAACTAGACCCAGATTTTATATATAATCATAAAGTACAAAACTACTCTTAGTTTAGAAATAACATAGGACATAACACTCCTGCTCAAGTTGATGCATAAATATTTTTCATGCCTAACTTGCATACAATGAGATGAAAAACTTTGCTACTAAGGCCCTTTGTGAAAACACTAGTTAACTGATTTTCTGATTTTACTAAAGGCATGCAAATCAAACCCTTAATTAATTTCTCTTTGATGAAGTGCCGATCAATTTTAACATGTTTGGTCTTGTAATGTTGAACTGGGTTATGAGTGTTAAGTGTAGAGGATTAACACAATATTAGAGAGTAACAGAGAGAGGTCAAAACTTAACCTAGCTCTCATAGATCATTTGTATTTATAGTTAATTCACAATAATAAGAATTATACATACACCCTCTTGTATTTACATACCCTAACACTATTTAATAATTTATAGATATTACCTTAATACTCTTAACATTCCCCTCAAGCTGGACTATATATATCATATAATTCAAGTTTTGAACAAATTGTTGTAAGAAGCGTACGATTTAATGCTTTGGTAAACATATTTGCAAGTTGATCTTTAGATTTCACAAATGGAGTCGTAATCTCCCCAGCTACTATCTTGTCCCGAATAAAGTAACAATCAACCTCAATATATTTGATTTTCTCGTGAAACACTGGATTGACAGCAATATGGATAGCTGCCTAGTTGTCACAGAACAACTGTAAAGGAGGTTGAACTGAAAATCTAATTTTCTGGAGGAAGTGTAGTAGTTAAGTCAACTCAGTCGTCGTATGCGCCATTACCCTATATTCAGCTTTAGCATTAGATCTTGTTACCACGGATTGATTCTTACTTTTCCATAAGACAATGTTACCTTCTAAGAAAGTACAATAACTAGTGGTTGATCTCTGATCAGAAGGAGAACCTGCTCAATCAGCATCTGAGAAACCTTCCACTCTAAGATGTTCATTAGTTCGATATGACAGTCTAAGTCTAGGAGCTCATTTGAGATATCGCAGAATATGAATAACTGCCTCCCAATGTGGTACTC